CCCCAAACCAAACAAATCCCCAAAACAAAACAAAATGAAACAACCTCACCAACCAACCAACCAACCAAACCTGTCTGTTTTTCAGGATGCTAACACTCTGTTGCCATGGCCACAAATTGCCATAGTGACATTAGATACATCTGTATTTCTAGATTAAAATTGCTTCTATTTTCACAGAAAATAAATCCAACTGAAAGAAACTACTCATCCATCCTTACCAGGAAATACTACTAAAATTAGGGCAACACACAGCAATTGGTTGATTGCAAAAAGGGAGGAATAAATCACAAACATTTTTCCATTTACAGAGCTGCTTCCTGCAGCTAGAAAATGGTTCAAAAGTACAACAAAAGAATCTGAGGACAGTTATTCTCTAATGCTGTTGTCTCAGCAAGACTCATTGGATAAGGGCTCAATTAGAAAGCCCAGAAAGCTTAAATAGCCTTTTTAGTCAGAGGTTAACTGCAGTATTATTTTAAATTTCTCTGTTAGAGCCCCAGATTGTTCTCCCCCCACCCCCAAGGAGGACCTTCACTCTCATAGAGGGGAAATACTGCTGTTCAACCTGTCTTAACGGAACTAACTGGTATCAGACAAGTCTTTGCTCTCCCATTTCCAGTGATTTTATGTTATGCTTATACCCTCTAGTGGACAAAAGGAAATTCACAACCCTCCTCGTGCCAAAGTGCCTTTAGATCAGCACTGTGCTAACAGGAGCTCTGACATGAAAACGCTGGATCAAAACAACTCTCTAATTTCTGCACTTCCAGGAACATCCTTGAGTCACCTTTACCTGCCTACATCTGCCTTGGCTCCCCCATTTTCTTACTGGGCTGTACAAAGCTCACCATGCCCGAATTTAGACATGAATTCAATGTCAAAATAAAAAACTCATTTATCTCTACGTGACATTCACAACATTTGAGAAATGATCTAACAGGGGAGTCAAAAGTGAGGGGTGAACACAGAAGGTTTGTATTCAATATCAGGTTTGACAACTGGGATAATTTCTCTACGTATTTTAGTCACCAAAGATTTTCAACTTCCTTTCTTCTTGGTAAGTTACTAAGCATTACTTGTGATAAAAACATAGTTCCCTCATATGCATAATTTTATATGCTTGCCATCCAGACTGATTTTCCTCCCAAACCTGCTGCAAAGAACACGAATGAATTCCCCATCTATGTAAGCCACTAAAAAATTTATGGCAGCAGAGGAAATGCATTGCTGTACTGACTTACAAAGATAGGGAAGTTATATATTACAGAAGACTTCAGCTTTTGCTCCTTTGGTGTTCACTGATTTCTACAGCATTCCCACAAATGTTATTTCTAACCTTATTTGTCTAAATATGCAGACAGAATCCTCTTGTCAAAGGGTCTGCATCAGACTCGTTTCAGCCAGAATCCACTGCAAGAAAAGGGAAATACATCAAACTCTGCTACTGGCAATCATGCTGATTCCACCTGGGAATCCAGTCTTAGGCCTTCCTGTACATGTATGAATCTAGGTCACAGGATTAAATAATGGAAAAAGGCTAAATTTCAGCTCTAATACACTATATTTCATGTCTCCACAGCCAGCAGAGTGGAAACAGCCCTTTGCCTAATAAGAGTAAAGATAAGAAATACAACCGGTTCACAGAACAGTTGGAGCTCAGAAACAGAGCAAGAAAGTAACAGTTTTCTTGCAAGGGGTTTAGGCAAAGAATTTAGGTATCCAAACAGCAGTGACCTCAATTTACGTGCAAAGTTGCAGAAAAAAACCCCTCACTGTTTCTTTTCGCTTCATATTATTTTCATTCCAGCTCTCATCACAAATAGAGCACTGGAAATTCGGACACTGAATTTCGGGATTCTACATACAGCTGTGAGCATGAGCATAGCAAAGTCCAGCATTTGGTTCACCAAAAACGCAGCCTTTGGCAGGGGGAAGGTATAATTTCCCAGATGAATGTATCCTCTGGAGCTCCCTGCTGGTGCTTCTCCAGCACAACACATCTATCACAAAGCGATGAGAGATACTTGATACTCATCTGGTCCTCCCTGCAGATCAGCTGCCTGCTGAGGTAAAAGTCAAACTTCATTGTTCTGAAGTGGTGAAGGGCTCAAGAATCTCAATCCATGTAGCTCAAGCCCAGTTTAGAAAGGTACAACACAGAGAGAGAGAAGTGTTCTAAGAGAGAAATCAGCCTCTAATCTGTAGAATGCAGTTTAGTGTTGCTTGGGGCTCTGGAAGTCAGCAGCATTTACAGGACAACTGTACTGCACACAGCTCATTTCCCACTCTAATTCTACCTCTCAGGACATTGTCTCCACTTACTGATGAAACCAACTGTTCACACCTCTGAAGGCCTCTCCTGGAGCCTCCAGGCTTTTTAACAACACTTATAAAGAACATAACACTGACTTTCACTTACAGTGTCTTGCAGTAACACCAAATTCCAGACAAAAGGTGATCAGGAAACCTTTCTCTTCAGTAACACTCAAGCACATTCCCATCCAGCATATGCATTTCTGCACTTGTCAGCTCTTAAACACTAAATTCAGTAGGCTCCAGACCACAGACAGCACACAGGAACTCCTGGGCAACTGGCTCTAGGTGGCTTTGATTGAGCAGGGAGGTTGAACCAGATGACCTCCAGAGGTGCCCTCCAACAGGGATAGCTCTCTGATTCTATGAGCTCGTGCAGCTTCAGAATACTCTGCGGGTTTTTCACATATCTGACTTTGCAGGACAAAACTCAGAAAGCAGCACCACGAGATGCCTCAGCCAGGTGGACACTACAAATTCCAAGTGGGTAAAGCAGGAAAAGCTGTGGTACAGAGCAGTTCCACAGAGATGGGATTTGGCATCTCCCCAGGAAGCAGTAACGTGACAATGCAGTGTCCCAGTTAGAATGAAGGATAAGAATACAATTTTTTTCCTCTACATTTCTCCCTTAGCGAATAAGCCACACTTTCCAGCATTATATGGAACTTTGGAAGACAGACAGGAAAACTCAGCTCAATCCAACAGCTGCTCCCAAGCACACAATGACACTTCACAGTTAACCTGTGAGACTCCTTAATACAATGCTATGTGTAGATCAGAGAACCAGCAGAATTCTCCACAGCTATCCTACTTTCCTCCTAAGGCACTGTGTTTCCTGCTGATTAAGATGGCACAGAATAAATAACAATTGGTTCTCTAGAAATCTTGCTTTTCAAGGCTGTGTATTGTGAGGGAGCAACACTTCCAAGAGGGATGCATAAGGGAAAGCCCAGCATTGCAAAAACACAACGAATGGAACTCAATTCACTAAGATGAGGGAAGGTGAAGCTTCCCCAGAACAAACTTTGCAATTTTAAGAATACCAGCATCCCTCTCTCTATTACACCCTCTACCTACCAAGGAAGTTAATCTTGTCTAAAAGAAATCAGTCTCAGAGACGTGAAAGTGGAGAATCAGAAACTCAAGGAAGAATAGCAAGTAATAAAGATGTTTAGCTGAAGTGCAAAGGTTTAAAACCTGACAGTAGTCTCCCCTATATTTTCATATCTCTTACCCACCATGGAGGGTACTGCCAAGCAAGAAAACATTTTTCCCTTTTATGCCACAAATCATTTAAGTTTCTCACATGAGAAACCACATTTCACTATTTTCTTTACCAACATCAGAACACTGACTCGTAGTACTATAAAGCAAGAAGGTAAAAACATTTTTCAAAAGGCAGTCATGGCTTCAACTTTGAATCTCATGGTACAGGTATTTTAGGATAATTTTTAGGCACACAAAGTTCGACACACACACACCACCCCCTCCCCACCCCCTCCCTTCAGGTATCATTTTCTCTCACTGCATTTCTCTCTGTGCCCAGGCATATTGGGAAAAGGTTATAAACACTTAGTGAACACAACAGGTTCTACTGCTAGGTGAAGATTTAACCATTTGCTTAATTGCACAATGAAGCCCACAGATGATACTGAAGAGAAACTACATTCCAGCATTTCCTGCTGAAAACACTGAACAGCAGCTGATAAAAGCATTTTATCAAAGCAGCACATTCAGCGTTCCCATTAACAAGAGAATTTCTATGCAAGACAGTGCCATCCAATGCAGGACAATATCTAGAAACTCACTAAGAGGTCACGTGGGTGGTGGTAGATCTGCAGAGGCTTTGATCAAGCAAAGCACAGTCTAGCAGTCAGATTTGTACTAGAATAAAATAGTATCCATGCTAAGACATTGTTCTTGCTCTGGGTAAGTTCTGCTGCTTGGCATCATCAGCTTCGTTTCACACACACTAGATAACAGTCCCTGACTCTACTCCTGACTCACTCCTGCAACCAAAAGTCATTTAAATCCCCTGTATAAACAAAAGCCAGAGTAAAACTAACCCATACTTACCCACGAGCTAATGACATCAAGCACCAACGCTAAGTAAAAGCTACTTAGCACAGGACCAAGCTCAGGAAGACAAAAATAAATCCAAATGCCAAAACAATCTTCAGAAAATTCTTCCTGTGCTTCAAAGCAGAAGAGCCACTACCAATGAACTGATTCTGGAGAACATTCTGGAAAGTCACTCTATGGAAACCTGGTAATCATAGACTGTCACAACACAGGCACAAGGAAAGGGCATGAAGATCAACATAAGGGGAGACTCGGCTTCCAAATCAAGTCCCTCACAAGGGCTTACATAAATACTTTGCTATGGAAAATTTTTGCTAAAGAAAAAGAAATAAATCAAGAAACAAGGTCATAGAGATACTTGGTATATAGAGAATAATGGTTCTCTCTTGCTCAGTATAGTAAAGTGTAGGACAGCATTTCCTCACAACTGAATCTTCCACATAATCATGGAAGATTTTTATCCCTTGGCTGGAGAGAGGAATTTCCTTTGGAAACAGAAAGTATTCCTGCTTCAGGACATGCATTTGCACATGCTAGTGAGACAAGAATACAAAGTTTGCTAATAAACTAAAAAAAAATAAAATAAGTGTTGGGGTTTTTTTGTGAAACTCAAAGCCAAATCAAAGATTTTCTACTGGCTTCTGGATAAGGCCTTGTGGATAACTTGGGACAAATATTTCTGACAAGATGCAAGTTTCTGACATGGTCTGTCAAAATCTCAACTTTTAAAAGCTATAAATAAAAGTAATAATGACTTCATTGGTTTCCTAAAATTACTGGTCAATTCAACAGCAAACAATTTGCCACCAAGACAATGGGAAACAAGAAAAAAAATTCAGTCCTAATCTTCAACTTTGTAAACTTTTGAAGGGTTATTCTCTAGGACAGAAATACTTGTGGAACTTCAGTTGCAGAAGTGCTTCTACACCTTGTCAACAGCAAAACACTGGGCTCTGTGAATTCACTGTAATTTCAGAAAAGGGACAGCAAGAGATGTGGGCAGACAAACACCTGCACCTAGAGCTGGGAATGGTCTTCAGTGGGGAATTAGGAGACAGGTTCCTTGGATAACTAGTTTCAGTAAAAATTAAGACCGTCAAGCATTCATTCAGACAACCATATCTGTAATTACCGATCTCAGCAACAGAAACCCGACTCATCTCATAAATTCCGACTGACTCAGTTGGCAAGTGTGCAGGGGATCTCCCCTCAACAATGTTCGAGGGATTAGTATGGCTTGGCATGATGTGAATTTTCTCTGCAGCACTGCAATTTCACTCCCACAATACATATTCTACATTCAGTGTAGTTTTCTGTCCCAAGTGTTACATATTGCTCAGGTCTCAGGACATTTGATAAACATGGCACGTGGTCTGACAGAAAACGTGTGCAAGGGCTGCAGTAGGATCAAGCAAGAGGACTGATTAATCGCAGCATTGTGCCCTACTCCCTGCTTTTTATCCCCCATAAATGAAATCCTGGAGTTAGCAAAATTCATCCATCAACTGTTTATCAGTTCTCATGCCCTGAGGATTGAATCTCCTACAGCTGAGAGAGGTAAGGGCTTCTGAAATTCTCAAGTATGCCCACAGACTATTTTGAGACAGACTTTCCCCAGTCATCTGCTAGAATAAAAGAACTTGTCTGCAGTAACAAAATCAGGATGCCATGGAGTTCAACCTCTAAATGGCAAAGCAAGTACCCTTGCCACGGAACTGCATGGGACTTGCCTCATTCTGATGCTCCCACAGGAGTCAAAGTGGGCACCAGAACCCGAAATAAAATTTAAGCAGCTTCAAAAAGAGCCAAAAATCTTACAGATGCCAAACTTTCCTTCTCAACAGTTAACTCTTACAGATACCTGCACCGACTCCATCATATAATGTGCGTGGTAACAGCACATTTTCTTCATTACTCAGTTTTTCAATTATTTCCCTTCGCCTTCCAGAAAAAAATAAAATAAAACCCAATCTCTTCATCTTCCAGTACGAGTAACGGGAATCTAGCATATTCCTCCCATGAGCTAGTCCTTTGTGTTCAAAAGCACCCAGAATACATCATTTCAGTCAGCTTCTCAGAGGGGATGGACATGTCAGGTATGGTCCATTCTTAAGGAATATGACTCATGGTGGGCACTTCTTAACAACACACAGCTGCAGAAGGATACCCAGAGCAAGATAAGACATTTTTGGGAGCCACCCACCCCTGTGGAACTCCAGTGTCTAGTATTTTTCCAGTTTCTGTGCAATGGATGTCTCTAACCCTAGTCAGTTCTTCCAGCAAAGATTCTCAACTAGGGTTATACAGTGGGAATTCCAAAGCAACTGGCTATGTACAGACATATCAGCATTCCCTCCAACAGAGGGATGAAAAGGAGAAAATTCCTGAGGATGTGTATCCTCTACTCCGTTTTCTGAATCCCAGCCTCCCCCTTGCCTTGGAATGAGCTCTACAAAGCAGTATCTGTTATGTACAAGAATCTCAGCTCCCTTCCTTTGGAGAGTTTCCCCTCAAAAGCGAAAATCCCGGGACAGAGACAGGTGCTGGGGAGGGGGAGGTCGCCTTAGGATGACTCGCCAGAGGCAAGAGAGCCAGCAGCTTTCTTCTTGGGTCGGGCTTTTGCACTCCTTACTGGAAGCTGGGGAGAAAGAAGAAGAGGCATCTTAGACCAGTTTACTTTAACATCTAGATGTCTGACAGAAAGGTGAAAGAATGAGGAATGAAAACAGGACAAAACAGCTACAACACGACGACCCTGTTCATGTCTTCTGTTGTCTCAGAAGGCTACTTAAACATTCTTTTTTTTTTTTTTCTTGGTTATTAAACAAATCACTCAACACATCCATCAAATAGCAACCAGGTGAAAACATTCTAAAACAGGATAAGTACAGGAATTAAAGTTGTCCCAACAGAAGGTTGGACACAGCGATATTTCTAACTGGCAACATTCACGTAACACTTCACTGCTACAACTTTTCTGCTTCTTGACTTCCATCACCACCAATGCAGGTCTCTGAAAGCTGCAGAAACATCTTGAGCTACCTTGCATGCTTTACTCCTGCGTCTGTCATTCTGGATATTGGCTAGGAGAGCACGTTTTTTTCATCTGTGATGCATTCAGCCCTGACAGACAAGATCAGAGGTCTCAGTCAAAGGCCTCCTACAAATGCTGCATCTGAACCAAAGATCCAACAGTCTGAGCATAAAAACCCACATGCCTGGAAAGGGCTTTATCAGTATTTCTGTATTCACAATAAACAGCATAAAAGACATGGTTTTGTCTTCTCATAGTATCACTTTAAAAATTCCTCACTAGGAAGCTTGGAATTGAATTCTGATTCTCGTTTCCCTGCTCCTGACTAATATGCTAGAGAAGAAAGCAGAGGGGTCACCTCAGAAATAAGCCATAGGAACCTGAAAAAGATCCAGGCTAATTTAAAATGCATCTTTAGACAAAGATGTCCATCCTGGGAGATAATCAAAAGCCAAATGGACCTGATCCTGGGAACTGGCTCTAGATGGCCTTGCCTGAGCAGTGGGGTTGGACCAGATGAATTCAGAGATCCCCTCCAACCTCAATTATGCTGTGATTCTGTTACAAGGAGTACTTAAGCACATGCAAAGCTGTCCTGTACACTGCAAAATCAGGTTAATAGCATGACCTAAAATGATGCTCTAAGCAATTACCTTCCTCCAAATTATTTAATATTTAGCCCAAATAGCTCAACAATGTGAGGCAGTTATATAGCACTCTTTATCTTAGATAAAAATAATAAAAGTAGAAGACCAAGTTGAATCAAGCAACTCCACAAAAAGGGAGAGGCATTTTTATCAAGTGCAAATCAAACCATAAGAAATGTTTGAGTCAAAGCCTGGAAAGCAGCACCTCAAAAAGCATACCCTAAAAAACACACCAACAGCTTGGAAAAAAAGATTCTTAAGTTGAAATGACTCTTGGACACAACTGTGGGGGGACAGGAGGAGTGGGGCAGGTGGGGAGTGATGTGATTTCCCCAGATCTAATATGTGAAATCAAAGGAGGCCTTAGAGGGCACGACTGCTGCATTTCAGGTTAAGGGAAAGTGGCTGCCCCAGGGATAAATGCCACAGTACCATTACACCATCAGACTGTAACAGATAGCAGGGAGGATACAGTCAACAAAACATGTTAAAAATGTTTCATGCTCCACCCTTCAACACAAAACCCCAATGAAAGAGAAGCTGGGTCCTGGCTTATGACGGAGGCCTCCAGGCATGATAAAAATGCAAAAGCTAAAGACAGTATGGCAAGTAGACAACGAGTCCTCTGATTCAACTAGCAAAGACAGTCCAACAAAATTCATATATACAGCTTTTAAATGTGCTGAGACTATCAAGCTAGAGTCCTCCAACAAAGCTCACAAATCAATGTCTGTGCTGGAAATAATCTATACATCAGCTCACCTCAGTTTTCGTCACCTTTTTAGGAGCTTTGAGACTCTGGGTACGTTTAGGAAGTTTGTCTCCTGCATCTTCATCTGATGGGTCTGTTCTGGGATCTGATGGGGTTCCATTAGACCTGTGTGTCACACTGCTCTCCTCTCCTGAGGAGTAACAGGAAGCTAAGGAACAAGAGAGAAACTTTTAGCAAAGCCTAAAATGGTCCACCCTGAAGGACAAAATGGAAGTGCCAACAATCTTGAAGGATAATCCAAATGTACGGAGATGCACAGTAAAGAGAAGGCTCTAGGGAAGAAAATGCATCTTCTCTCAGACAGCAGCTATCCTGTATTCCTTCTGAGACCCAAGGCATGGCAAGTGCAGGGAACCCCTCCTGGCTCATGATATGAGGCCAGCAGGGCTCTGTACCTGAGTCCTCGATGGTTTCCAGCAGACTCCCACCAGAGGAGTGCAGCTGTGGGTCGCGGCTCCGCATGTGCACGGTGTCCTCGTCCCGGATCAGAGTGAGGTCCTGCATGCTGAAACTTCGAAGCTTCTCAGACAAAACTCCCTGGCCCTAAGGGGACATAAAAATCAGGGTGAAGGGCTCTTCCCCAGGGTCATCTCACATGGGATCATTCATTCAGAAGAGGAGGAAAGGCGCCCTATTCCCCACTAGGGTACTCTGAAGAAAACAGAGAAGGAAAAAGAAAAGCATCCTCCCAACCCCAACAACAAAGAGGTTAAAGCAAAACCCATTCCACTCCCCCTCCTCTTTTCATAAGTCAAAGGGTGGGATTAACTGCAAGGCAAACTGGAGGAAAGGAAAAGTAGACTGGTGCCAAACAAGTAGGAGTATCCCTAACACAGCAGACAAAACTAAATCATTCAGGAATTCCAGAATGCCACAGAAGGTGCTGGATTACCTTTGCAGCTGCTGTAACTGCTGCATTGGCAGCAAGGTTTAACCCTCTCTTGCCAACTCGCATCATGGTTTCATAGCTCTTGTCACAAGCCTGAGTAATGTATTCATCGATTTCCTAGGAAGGCAATGTGGAACATGGCATTTAGTTCCTCATTATAAACATGATCAAAGTCTCCCCATCAACACCCTTAAAAAATGCAAAGCTCAGCTGGACACTTTTTTCCCAGGCTACCACCATCAGCTGTCATTGATCACATAACAGGAGTTTCTCTGCTACTTACAGAAAGCTTGTAAATGCAACTTTTAATTACATGTGTTATTTCCAAATTGTCACAACCAAAACTAAGCAGTCGCTTACACTGACAATGAAAAAACAGATGGGCTACAGAACATGCTGCTCCTATCACGATTCAAAAAAGCTTAACTACTGACAGTGACTGTGAGAGCTCATGACACTGGGTTAGCCAAACATGCTTGCTAAGCTTTAGGCAAACTACTGGCTACGTTACAATCTCCAGTAAGCTACAGTGTGACACTGTTGCCAGAGACAGAATCATTCTACATCCACTAGTGTCAGCACAAGCATGATTCACACATTTCAGTTCTTATTGTGGCATAACTGAATCAGAAGCCACTCAGCTCCCAGACAGGTCAGCATCTTCTAACAACAAGCAAGTACCTTCTCCTTATTGGAGAGCGTTGGGTGCACAAACTTCCTGTAGAGGACACTGGAGCCCTTGGTGTAAGGGGAGAGCAGCCAAATCACAAATGCGATTTTCAGCTCGAAATAAAAGGGAAACCTGAGAGAGAGAGGAAAGAAAAAAAAAAAAAAAAAAGAAGGAGAGAGAGAAAGATGGAGAACTGGAATCAAGATCAGCACAGAGACAGATGGAGATAACTGGTAGAGAGCAGCGCAGGCAGAAAGAGTGCAGGCAAGATAAAGGCTCAGAAACAAGAGAACTGATTAATCAGGTCAGAAAAGCAGAGCCCTCTTTAGAATCCTAGGACATACCTTCTTCGAGTCTCATTTAGTCTTTCATCCATAGCCATGAAAACTCCATAAACAGGGCATCTCTCAGCCCTGCAAACACACCAAATTACAATCTGATAGCTACTCTCATCATTCTGAAGTTTGTTCAGAGAACATCCAGTGGATGTTAATATCACATTAGTTTCCCTTCTCATTTTCCAAAAATTTTCAACTACATATCTTAATAATGTCACGTTCCTGCTAAGGCTGATGGCTGTTTCTGAAAATTCCTGTAGGTACTCCTCAGATAAGACACAAGGGACAGTGTAAATGAAAAAGGGCAGGCAGGTTGTAAGTCTTCTATCTCTAACCCTTACCCAAAAAACACTCTGGGAAGATACAATAGCAGAGATTGAAACAAGTGAATGCAAACCCTCTACTGACTCTACCAGTTCAAGAAACTTCTGCTTTCAGAGGTTCATTTTAAGTATGTGAACAAGATAAAGCTCTTGTACTTTTTAGATCTGTGTCTGCTTTTCAAAGTTTATGCAGGAAGAAGCAAAACCGCTGAGCACTTCTGAAAGGCAAGTGTAGGCATTTCACAATTCTTTAAAAGATGAAACTCTTGACTAATATTGTTTCAGAGATGTATGCAAAGCCCAAGCAATGAAGAAACTGAAGGCATCCTGTTCCAAAGGTTCAGCTGAAGCCCTGTAACAATTACTTGTCATTTTTGGAGGCCTCCATACTGCCAAGCATGACACAGAGGCACTGGAAGAAGCAGGAACCTCCTTCACGCAATCCACTCATGCATGTGATCTGCTCCTCCACACAACAGGCTGTCAGAGCAAAATAGGTCCCTTCCTTCTAACAAACATCTTGTTGGATTTCTTTTAAAGTGTCTTTCAGACCACCATTTTTCAAACTTCACCAGTTCACATTAACAGCTTCTCAAAAATATTTCATGTCATGAATGCGTAAAGATCCTCTTACAGATATTGTGCATTTACCCAACTGTGCAAGGATAGGAGATGAAACAGCTAAGGCAGCAGCTACTATCCACAATATCTACACACCTGCTGACTCTTCATAGGGATTGAAAACTCCTAAAGGAGAGACAGCTTATGCATAGCATCCTAGCACTTCTCTCTCCTTAGAAAAAGCCAACAAAACAAAACAAAACCACCACCACAACAACAGAAAAAGATCCCAACAAGGAACTCACCAAGAAAGAACAATGTCTGTGAGTGTTTCTGCAGTGGTGAAAAAGGCAAACACAATCCAGTACATCATCCACTTCACCTGCAAAAGAGCAGTCACTCAATAGACATCCATCAGACCCAGAAAAAAAGTGACATGCCTTCTCAGCATAAATGACTCATCAACTCCACACATTAAGATGAATTCAATAAGAAGGAGGATATACAATCAATAATGGAGAGGGTCATATCCTAAATGGTACTTTATAGTCTGGGAAAACATGTAGGATTAATGTGCTTTAAAAAGATAAATGCATACAGATATAATGTTGTTCATCAGTGTGATGCAACAGTGTCAAGGTCCCAAATGAGCCAGAAAGACTAATCAGTTCACTTTAAGAAGTTACACTCTTTTATATATCATGAATATTGTAATAAATATATATATATACACATACATATATGCAAAAGTTTAAGTTTCAGCTGTAGCCCCATATTTTCCTGATGTAAAGTTTTTCCTTGGGAAAAAGAAGAAAAACTACAAACCAAACAAATATATTATTTTGCTCTAATCCATCAGAGCAATTCTTTGCCTTAATCATTACTCCCAGAAACTATACAAGCAATCCTTTCTTTGTAAATAAAGACTCACTGAGACAGGCAAAAGGGCAAAGAACATGCCCCATCAACCTCCTCTTCTTGTTTAAAGTTTTGAGTATCTATACATAATAAAAAGTACTTTGTGCTATTATGGCACATCTGCACATTCCTATTGTCTGTCTCCCTCTTTCCTCACACTTTTATCTGGAGCAGTATTTGTTTCAAAGCATAAAATAATTTCCTGCTAACAAACACCTGTTCTAGTAACAGGTTTCTCTGTTACAGGCCAATTATTCCTAAGGAAGAATCAGCTGAATTATAAAAACTGCCCTCTTGTAAGAGAAATTGCCAGTTTTCTATGCTGTTGAGAATTAGAAATGAATGTAAGTAGGGGATAAATGCAAAGGGCACCTTTACTAAAAGCAATTTAACACTCTTAATGTCATCAAGAATGGGAAAGAAAAACTAAACTGAATCAGGGAAATTCCTCATATTAAAACCACACATTAATCCATATATTAAAATTACATGAACAGTCACGTTCATGTAATAATGACACGTTGAGAATCTTTGTTACAGCAAACGATATAAAAGCAGGTATTTCCCCAAACTTGCATGTGTTGGAAAATTCGGTGATTTGATCTTGAAAGACCCCCCCCCAAAACTTTCACAAAAAAATAAAATCAATCTGCCTCCAGCCCCTCTAACATAGCGGACAACTCAGAAGATAGTGGTTAGTAATCCAAATTATTTCAACTTTATTGTGATCTTTTTTTCACAACAGAAGGTAACAAAACTTGTATTGTATGGTTCTCTCCTGCCTTTTTTTTTTCCCTTATATCATCAGAAGGACCAGGTGTCATTCAGTTGATCTAAAGCAACTCTATGAAATGAATGGTTAATTCTTCAGCACAGCAACATAAATCAGCTCTTGTATGAAAAAGTGTGTGATTAATGATAAACCAAAGTTTGCAAAAAGGGATCCCAAAGGGTGAGAGATTTCAGTGAAGCTACATACCAGTAAATTTTACTTCAGCATTAGGCAAAATGAAGGCAATATTAATAATAATAAAAGCAATTAGCAGATATAATATATATACACATAAAAAAATAAGGAATATGTTTGGGGTTTTTTTAAATAAATTCACAACTGTGTAGCAGAATTCTTAGGTTTCTATAAACTCTTGCTGTAGTGCCTCCCTTACAGGCAGGGTGTATGGAGTTTCCAATTAGTTTCTAACAGGTCTAAATAAACACTTAAAGAAACAAAACTGTCAAGGATAAAAAGGAAGGGACTCTTGAGGATTAACAGTTGGTTAAAAGAGAGGAAACAAAGGATAAAAATAAATGGCCACTTTTCACAATGAGGAGAGTTACCAGTGGAATCCCACAGGAATCAGTGTTGAGATCTGTGGTGCTCATCTTCATGAAAGATCTGGAAAAGGTTGCGAACAATAAGATGATAAACTGAGCAGGAGATACTTTTCTACCCAAGAGATTAAGGTATCAATTGATTAAAGAATTCAGAAAAGGATCTTGACTGATCTCCAGTTGATATTTTGTCTCTAAATGTGTTTAAATACAAAGCAATGAACTTCCAGCATCTGCTTTTTCTTAGTGAAAACTACTGCAGTTACATAAATTAGCTGATGTCACTCAGGAGGGGTCACTGTAGGCAGCCAGATGAAACCAAAAGCTCAGTGCTCATTAGACTTTTTCACTCTGCTAACAGAATACTCTGGAGTATTAGATGATGAACTGAGAACAGAAAACATTGCTTTGTACTGCTTAAATAAACTGCATGTTTGCATCTTTGATACTGGACACAGGTCTCTTGCCTTCTGTTCCCTCCTCTTCACCCTATGCTCTACAGCCAAAGACAAAAAGAAATACAGCCCTTGAATAAACTAGAAGGATATAACTTCTAGTTCTAGAAGTCCCTGAAGTGCAGATGACCAGAAACTAGAAGAGCAGAAAGCAGAGGGAAAGAATCAGTTATTTTTTCTTATGACAAACACCTTCCAAAACTGAAGCTTAAACCAGGCTATTTTTTTTTAAGTCACTAAAAAGAGTCAGATCTCTGCTGCTCAAGCTGATGGTCACTAACTTCAGCTAACTGCACATACACTGTCTCCCCAGCTTGCACCAAGAACCTAAATAAATTCAGCAAATGCAAAAGCACAATCCCAGTGTAGATCTGACCAAAGCTGAAGACGACATGACAGAAATCTGAGCTACAAGAAACAGTTTGCCACAGCTGCTTAAGGGCTTAGCATAAATTTGTATCACGGTGGTGGAGAACACTAAGTTTGCACTGTACTCTGATGCCACTGAAGGACTGCTGGTGGTAGCCTGGTCTGTGCCAACTCAAGTTTCAGTGCCCCACTACAGCACAGATCCCCCTGGGAGACCTTTCTCCACCACCAAACCCCCGGCCAATGATGGTTCTCAAGCACTAAGAGCAAGCAGCTGTACATGGGAACAGCTGGCTTTGAAAATGGGCTGCACAGCATTCAAGTTTTTGGCTGACTTTTCCCATGAAGAACAGCTTGAATAGACAGTGACCCCTTTTCCCATGTTTAACATAAATGTTTTTCCCCCATCTTTCTGCTTATGTGGAGAAGGAAGAAGCCCTTCAAAGGTAAGTAAATTAAGCAGATGGCAACAACATCTAAATGCCTACTTCTGATGTAGTCCTCTCAAGGAGAAATAACTCATATACAAAATAAGTTTCAGCAGTTTAAATACATGTTCTTGAACCAACTCCAGTATCTCCACTGAAACTAGAAAAATAAGAAAATTTTCTGCTGCAGGAATCCGGAACTATCTACTTCAGGAAAGCTATACCAATGAATCACCAAACAAAATCCAAAAATGAATGCCATGCTCTTCCACATCTGCCCTAGAGGGGCTTACAACCAAGTGATCAGTTGATATTATTGTTAAGACAACCTCATGATGCTCGAGTACTTCCTCTCATTTCTGTTTGTGGATGCTTCATCCCTCTAAGTGCTCAAGGCCAGGTTGGACAGGCTTTGGAACAACTGGTCTGATGGAAGGTGTCCCTGCCATGGCAGGGGGTTGGAATAGATGAGCTTTAAGGTCCCTTCCAACCCAAACCATTCTGTGATGCCGTGACTTTTCACTATCAGATTAAGGCAGTCTTGCGGCTGCTCAGGTAACACCAAAAGAAAATGGGATCAATACAACATTCACATTCTGCAAAGAATCAGAGCATTTATGTACCTCAACAGCACCTACCCACAGAAAATAATCAGGGTTTTGCTGTAAAGAATGCCAGTTGCTTAAAAAAAAATTAGGGTTTTAGGGTTTTTTCCCATCAAGTTCTCAATAAGATGATTTAAAACTCTCAAATCTGAGTGTGTGTTCAGATTCTGTAAATGGAATACAATCATTCCGTTACAGACATTCATGAGTCAGAATAAAACTCCAGGTAAAAAATACACATTTCATGCAACAAATGAAGGTCACTGGCAACTGGAAGGAAGGAGGCGAGGAGTGCCAGAGAAGACAATAGTAATATGATACTACTTAATATGTAACCTCAAAGGTAACTATGAAGTCACAGGATCACACCATTATTCACTGAGTTTCTCTGTTTCCCATTTCTAATGCTACTACTACTAAACTTTGAAGTTTAGTAAGCTCATCATATTACTGACTGTATCTCTGATACTGTGTCTCTAATACTCTAAACACAATTTATCAGTTATCAGTGCCTCCCGAACATTCACATTTCAACTCTTCTGCTGAGATCAGTATTAAAACAAAAAACCAAGGCCAAACACCTCAGCCAGCTGTAGTTTGTAAAGCTGCCCACTGTGAGTGAGATTCTCAGCTCAGTCGGTATCTACTTAAAAACCTCTGGGCTGAATTTTAAGCCAATGCCCAGGAAAGGTCTAGTCAGTTCCAGAGGGCTGGAGCAGCATGAGCCAAAACAGGGCTACATCCTGCAATATTTATTGCTGACATCTCATTCTGTAAGGAGCAAACAGAGACTGCTGGATGAAGTCTCAGACTGTACCACAAAGCAATACTGACAAATTATATCCTATTCACTCATGTTACTTCTTCTTCACATTATTCCTTGGACTAGATGAACGGAAACTCATCCCACCCATGAGACAAATAGCTCGTCTCTGGTGACCAACTTAAAACCCCCCTTCTGTAAGAGGATGACATACCACATCACAAAAAAACTCTTAGTGTTTAAAATCTGGTAATTGTAATGATGCTAGACAGAGAGAGGGAAGCAACTCCAGAAGGGAAAGAGGATGAAATCTTGACCAACAGAAAACACCGATCACAACCAGAGTTCATAGGAAGACACAAACCAAGCAAGATTACTCAGCCCTTTGGAAGAAAACTAAAGTAGCACTTAAGTGTTGAAAAAAAAAAAAAAAAAAGCTGAAAAGGAGACAGAGTAAGGATAAAGTTACAGGAAAAAACTCGTCCTGGACTTTCATATGCTTCCAGACTGCAGTGTTTGCCCCGCTTTCCCTTCCTCACTCAGCATCTCCTGAGAAAAAGCATCCCAGGTATATGGTTTGGAGCCTCCCATTTTAGTGAGCGACCTTTCCTCGGCAGCATCTGCAGAGCCGGCCGGGGCCGGGGCTGAGCCGAGCCGAGCCGAGCCCAGCGCGGCCGGGGCTGAGCCGAGCCCAGCAGGGTCAGCCCGGGGGGGGCTTTGCGGGGCGGCCGCGGGGGACGGGGCGGGCGCTGCGCCGGCACGGCCAGCCCGTACTCACATATTCCTTCACATTTTTCGTCTTCACGGCCTTGTAGGACGAGTACGCGGGGTAGAGGGTGCCGAAGATGAGCCTGCGGGCAGAACACACCGCTCAGCGCCCCGCCCCGCCCGCCCCCCCCGGGCCGGCGCTGCCCGCGGGATGAGCCGCTCCCGGCGGGATGAGCCGCTCCCGGAGCGGGGCCGTGGCTGGAGCCGGCCTCAGCCCCCTCCCGGCCGCAGCTGCCCCCCACCCATCCCCGGCCCCGCGGGGGGCACCGGCGGCCCCGCTCCGGGCCGGGCCCTTCCCGGCCGCACTCACACCACGAGGCGGGAGATGATCCAGGAGACCATGGCGGCGGCGCCGGGCGCGGCTCGGGATCGGCAGCGGCGGCAGGAGGAGGAGGAGGAGGAGGAGGCTCTTCCAGGGCAGGTTCCTGCAGCAAGCGCAGCCCCGCCCCGAGTGCTCGGAGGGAGGAGCCGAGCGGCGCAGGGAGAGGCCGCAGCGCCCCGAGCATCCCTCGCTGCGGGGCGCGGAGCGGGCAGGGCGGGCGGGACCCAGAGCAGGACACACCCGCAGCTCCCGGCAGGGACGGGGCGTGCTGGAACGGTGGTGGCAGGGGAGAATTACAGAGGAAGATCGCTGACGTGAGATCACGGGCACTTGGGAAGGCAGAAGAGGCAGAAGGAGCCATTTTCCGTGCAGTGGCCTCCCCCAGGGAGGTCGAGGCAGCAGCTGTTAAGTGCTGCGAACAGCGAGTTAAGGGTAAAAGCCTTTTTAGAGCCCCACGGCTCCCCGTGTCACCCAGAACCGGATGCAAACCAAAACCTGACTGGCCGATACTGAGGTTTGAGTTATCAAACCAGAAGGATGAAGGCTGTTACTTGTAGTTTCCAAGGTAATTCAGTGTTGCCATTCAATGTCTCCATGAAATTTCAATTGAGATGCCGAGGATTACTTAGCTGAGTACACAAACAAGGCTGAACAGTGTGTGTGTGGGGCGAATATCCATGGTGCAGGGTGGGAATGTGTATGGTTAAGCATACTGGAATCCCAGGAATTGTTGTATTTTAACAGCTCACCAAGGAATACTGTTAGGAGAATCCTCCTCAGTCAGTGCCAGAGTTCATTACTGGGCCCCCGGGGAGCCTGTATGAACATTACAGTCAAGGATTGATTAGTACATAGATCTGTGAATTACACTGAAATGACCATTACATAAGCGGCGTTTTAATTTAAAAAGGAAAAAAAAATGCTAGAAATCCACTGTGTTTCCTCAGCTAACCAAAAAAAAAAACCAAGCCTGAAGCAAGGCACTGTGGCAAAGTCTCATTACTTGCCCAAATAGCCTTTATGAAAATGAATGAAACCAAAGAGAGCAAAAACAAAGAGCTCCCAGGGAAGAATTTTCTCACGAATGCATGAACTTTAGTATAATGAGCAATGATGACAAACACAAAACAGTAGCAACTTTCCATTACATGCAAGTGTTGTGAACACAAGTATCTTTACAGGCAGTCACAAAGAACATTTTGTCAGTTCCTGCTTTTGGATATGAATGGGCCACAAAACGATTGCATAAGTGACTGCACAATTCACACCACTCATGGGATAACTGACCTACTAACAGGATAAAAGGAATCTGCTTTCAGACATCCAAGTAACACCAACACGCAAAACCTTCAACAAAATAATTATGTTCTTAAATGCAGCAATTTCATCTCAGTGACCAGCATGGCAACAGCTCTGGTACTTGAATAACATGTACATTGAGTGAGTGAAAGATGCAAACAGAAGAGAGAAAATGCAGAGATCTGGTGAGTACAACGTGTGAACAGTGTGGGAGCACTGAATAACTGCAGCACGGGTAAGTGGCACCTAAATAAAATGTGCCTTAGTGTTTAATGTGCCGAGGAGCCACATGAAAATTTACAGTGCATTAGACATAAATGGTGATAAGAACAACCATCTCAACATCAGCAGAGCAGGTGGCCTTGCAAATGTTGTAGGTGGTAGCTCACTGTTAAGTAGCTTTAGAACAAGTTCAGCAAAAGTATTTTAAGCTAGCAATTTACATTTAGAAAAAAGTAGCTCAATTTCTTTCCACATCACAGAGAAGAACGAAAAATTAATTCTTTAACTTACCTTTTCACAAGGAGAAACTACTGGTTTTTAAAGGCTACTTTTGGAACTAAAGTCAGCTGCAAGTCCCATGAAAATAGAATGATTTATTAGTAGTAGTTTTAATAATTTATTAGTAATATTGTATAATGCTGTGTAGTTAAGCTCTTAAGAGCTACGCAGGAAAGCAATTTATCAGTTGTTTTCAAATCAAGGCTGTTATGTTTTTTTAGCAGATATGCTACTGCCAGAATAACTCACGATGAATTTGTGTCCTACACATGATCCAAACAGGTGACCAAATATCTATCAATCTGTTATGGCTAAACAATAAGGCCAAAACCCCCTACTGATTATACATCGTAAGTCAATCTTATAATCACTTTGGCTGGGTACTTGTGGTATAAGCTGTATATGAAATATGTCAGAAGTGGTTTGTGGTGGGTACTGGAGGGAGAGTGCTCGTACTGACCCTTCATGCAAACCCTGGTAAGAGAAAATTGTAACACATGCCTGTGAATGGGTGTGTGAGAGGCCCCAGATTAGCTGTCACTACTCAGGAAAGACAGTAAAGTCATGACTACTGGAAATCTTAATGCTTAGCATTATTAACAAATGCAGCAACTGTATTGGAAATTGCTGATCCTTCTGCATTACACATTGCCAAGGCTCTGCCTTTTTGGTCTTTATCCAATTTTAATGCTGATACACACACACACACACACACACACACACAAATGAGGGAAACAGCTATAATTACTCTGCACGCACAGAGTACAACAGAATTTCACAAGAAATTCTACACAACAGAATATGGTGGGGTTGAATGGTTCATGGGTCTGGAATAACCCATTTTATCTCTAGCAGACTGAATTAGCCCACAGTCACAGGAGAGCTGCAAGGGTATGAGGCAGCAAAAGCCTGTGAGTGGACTTTGCAGCCAGTAACCAACCTGAGAAGCTGCCAGCAATGCCACATGTCAGTGACCAGAACTGCTGCTGCCATCACAACCTCCTAGGTCAGAAACCAGGGGACCTTTACCACCCCATCCGTATCTCCAGTGGAGAGGGCAGCTCTGGACCCCAACCTGTTAGGAAGGTACTGAGAGGTGGGGAGCACAGCACAAGAGATGTTTTTATGACCAGACAGATCCTCTACCCAAACCACCTCCGAGAACCAAGGATCTGCAAGGCAGCTGGGTGTGCTCCCAGCAGGTACTTGGGATGCCAGGCTAAACCACCCGAGCCCTCTGGTCAGACACAGGGCACGGAATTAGCAGGCAGCCCACACTGCCAGGGGCTGAGAAGACCTCAAAGCAGGAAGATCAGTGCACAAGTATGAAAGAAACTGCCCAGGCTGTTACAGTAAATGACTTTTATTTTTTAAAAAATGAAATAACCGTGAACATATTAACAGGCCTGCAAGTGGCACTACAGTACAGCTGGAGATAAGGTCGATACATTTCCCCATGTACCCAGACAATGAAATCCATTGCATCAATGCTGACATTAGTAAATTCTGAATACAGTTCTATCAAGCAGGAACATTTTTACTTAAAATAGTTCTGGACAAAGTTGACACTGAAAGTTAACTTTTCCTTCACTTTGGAAAGGATAGATATTTTCAGCTAGCACTGGTATTGGGTGAACTATTGCCTGCAGTCACCAGTGCAGGGAGAGATGTACAACATCTCCACATGAGAACAGAGTTTATACTCCTTTTTACTTCTCATTCTGAGGAAGCAGGGTGGCAGAGAGAGAAGGGGGAAGATAGGTGAGGTAATATGGGCAAGGGAGGTGGGATGTCAATTTCTATTTGATTCTCCTTTGGCTGTTTTTGTGCTATTTGGGACTGCTTTCTAAAAATCACTTCTTGATTTTATTGAAAGGAAGACTAAATGTAATGCGCCTTTCCTTGAAAATCCAGGAACAATTGTGGTACTTCAAAAATACTAAAAATATCTACTTTCATGAAATATTAACTGTTTCACTACAAACCTATTTTTTCACTAAATACACAATTCTCTTATCTCTGGAGTCTCCCGGGGGAAAAAAAAGTGGGTTCTCCCTTTAGTTCTGCAACTCTACAGTGTATAGAGAAACGGCTACAAGAAGGGGAGTGCAGAGAATAGCTTTATCCTTTTCCTTGGCCTGTATCTCACATGGGAAGTTTGCTTGAATTTCTGCAGTTGGGCTGCTGTTGGTCACACTCTTTCAGCAGCTAAACTAAGTTTGCAGCAGGACAACCCACCTCCAGCACGTTCCGTCTAACTTTGTGGAGACTAACTAGGCATGAGGGAAAAAACATCCACACTCTTTATACCATTTCTAATCATAATATGCAGGAACACCCAAGTGGTTTCCACGTTCTTCCAATTTGCAAAAGGCCACAGGAAAGGGACATGGCACCTTTTAGAATCCGGAATTCTGCATGTTAACAGTGCGACCTTCCATTAGACCTTCAGTGTTGAGGCAGCGTAGGAAACAGTGGCTGAAGAGTGTGTGTAATACTGACCACTCCAGCTCCCAGTGAGAAGCCCCTGCTCCTGCAGAGGCAGTCGTGTGCAGTCCCTGTAGATACCGTGAGCAAAAGGCTTACTTTGACAGGGCATTTGGAATTAGCAATTCCTACGATCTAGCTAGTTTGGATTCATGAGCTTTCAGTGTGCCAACAGCATCTTTCACTGCATGGTAGATAATGTTCTTCACCTGCAACAGGAAAAAAGAAAACAAATCAGCTTCTCCAGACTTAACAAGGAGAGGCTTACACACCTATGCAATCAACTTTGACAGCTGAATTTGTAATAGTTGGCAACTATACACAAAGTATATGCTCTTCCTGCTTCAGGATATCAGCAGCACAAATTTTAACTGTCACAGATGACAAGTATTTTCTGATTTATTACCTCATTTTCTGGTCACCCATCAACATATATTTACTCATGTTATTTTAAGGTAAATTCTCTCTTTTGTGAGAGCGAGGAGAAAGTGCACTATGAAGTGATGTACATGAGTTTATTTTGAAAAAGTCTGTGTGATCCAAGTCACTTACAGATTCTCATGAATCAAACCTAAAAGGTGAAAGAAAATCATTTGGTTTAATCCTATGAAAATTAAGATGATGCAACGAATCATCCTGTTGTCTTTGTATGGAGGTTAGAAATTCTTCTAATCTGTGAATCTTCCAGAAAGGCAAGTGAGATCAGAGATGAGAAATCCACCAGTACTCACAGCAATCCGTTTCACAGGTAGCTATTTAACAATCAAA